TCTCTCTCTCTCTCTCTCTCTCTCTCTCTCTCTCTCTCTATCTCGCTCTCTCTTCCTATTTCTGTCGGTCTCTCTCTCGCTCTCTCTCTCTCTAGGTTGCAGTTACGGTGGAAAAATACCGCTGCAGTGCACACGCAAGTCAGCGGCTAAAAGTAGTTAAATCCGAAACCGCTCATGGAGGTCGGAATCGGTATTTCAACCCCCTTAAGCAATAGCCGCCCACTAGATGGGTCAGCGCATGCAGTTTCCAGTATTAATCCCTGGCTGCCGAGCAATAACTACCAGCAATACCCTGTTAAAGAATAGCAAAATCAATATACCAGTTCCCTTTGAAAGCCGGGCTAGAGCCATACATAAACAAATCATTGCAAGTACTGACATTCCTGAGTAAATACTGTGACTGCCTCAGACTAATCAAAACGTCGAGTTCTTTTTGCTAGTGAACAGAATCCTAACCCTACATACATACGTGGCATATATTAACCTACTCCGAACATTGAAGGATGAAAAAAATATGGATCACCTACAATGATAGGACACAATACATGACCACAACATTGGCACTGTGTTTACATAAACACAAGTAAACGCACGATAGCTACACCATATTCAGCAATACATACATAGTATTTCCCTGCGTCTCGTCTCTTCTCAAAGTCCACAATATCTGCAGAGACTGGAACCGGCTTCTGTGGCATTGCTCTGAAAGATGGCAGTTTTTCACTCATCACTCAAATTCTGTTCCTCGGAGCTGAAGGCAACGTGACATGAAACCGACAGTCAACGCTCGATTCCTTTAATGTAAACAACCTGATTTTTGAACTCGGACAAAGTATAACTATTTCCTCGAAAAAAATTAACATTGTAGATATAAAATCATACTGCTTATAAATACATTAGGGGCAGTGTGGTCATATTCACATGGGTTTACATGCAAGGCACTATGGAGGTCATCTTAGAGGACAGGTACAACTTCACACGGTGCTGTGCAGTCAGCAATTGGTGATGATTTGTTGCAGAGACTGCAGGCAAAATGAATACGGATCAACAATTGTATATACCCCAAATGCTTTCACTGAAATACCATCGAGAACACTGACACATTATACGGTGCCCATCGGTTTCCACACAGTGTGTGACTGGTTTCTTTGCATGATTAACCAAGCTATATGTAGGGAGGGATGGCCTAGTCTACATTTTTACGCATGAAATTGCAGGTTGTTTTTCTCTAGTTTGTACCTCATGATGACATTGAGGAACATTGAGCCTAGGTATTATTGAACGATCACGCAAAGTATCGTTCATAGGGTCTATGTCCCCCAGGGTACTGCCGGAACGTACCCTGGGTACGGTCTGGTATACCGGAACGTACCCTGGTCACTAGTTTATATGGTTAGGGTTAGGATTAGGGTTAGGGTTAGGGTTAGGGAGTAGACGTAGCCGACTCCCTAGACTCGTTAGTGGAGTAGGCGAGGTACGGTCCGGCATATTAGATACTTGATAGTACCAGGGTACGTTCCGGTATACCGGACCATACCCAGGGTACGTTCTGGCAGTACCCCGGGGGACATAGACCCTCTCAGCCAAAGTATCAGTGATACTATCACATTGAATGCAGCACGTTCTTGATTTCACCACACTGGTCTTATTATTCTACATTAATATTTCTGAAATTCACTATGAACTCACCAGTTATCCGTTTCATAACACAACGTTATCGGTTGATTGAACAATATCCTATAATATTGTTCATACCTGCCTAACTGAACAAACAGAAAAGCACTCCGCGAGCTATATCTCAATGCAAATGACTGGAGTTATATTTATAATTCCATACCTGGTTCCACAAAACAAGAGTGCATATGCCTCTACATTCTACGTGGCTGCTTATAGAAAGATTGCTGAGCAATTGTACACATGGCAATGATAGGCGCACAGGCACTTGGAACATCTCAATAAAAAATAAAAATGTAAACACGAAATGTATTTACTACCAAAGCCTTAAAGTTAATGTTTCTCTACTCTATTTCGCCTATTATTGCCGATAAATTGCTGTAAATGCCGTTCAAATGCTCATCTGCAACACACAAGTACACCGCAAGCCCCGCCCTGTGCTGCGTGCACAAACAACATGAATAAGAGAGCAGGTAGAAAAGTCTGATCGCTAAATTCGCTCGACTCTCGCTTCATTTCACACCTTCACAGCACAAATACACATCCAACAGCTCCCATCTTGGTATCTATGTGTACATAAATGTTCACTTGTTCGAATTGTAACACTGGCCTTTGTTCTTACCTACTCCCGCCAGAGATCTCTCGTGAAATCCTGCAGGAAATGTTCTCTCCGTGAAAATGTAAAGAGGACGTATCATCCGAAAATCCCTAACGGCGCTACTTTCGATCGATCACTGTAGTAGTCGTGTGGTGTGTGTGGCGTCATGCCCGCGCGCATTATGCTTGGCTTGGCGGGCCTCGAAACGGAGGCTCGGAGGCAGGCAGCAGCTCATCCCGGCATGCAATGCGCGACATTACTCGTGTATAAACAGACATCTTGTCCTCTTTACACTCTCTATACATTTTCACAGAGAGAAACATTTCCTGCAGGATTTCACGAGATATCTCTGGCGGGAGTAGGTAAGGACAAAGGGCAGAGTTATAATTCGAACAAGTGAACATTTATCTACACATAGATACCAAGATGGAAGCTGTTGGATGTGTATTTGTGCTGTAAAGGTGTGAAATGAAGTGAGCGTCGAGCAAATTTTGCGATCACGCTTTCCTACCTGCTCGCTTATTCATGTTGTTTGTGCACAGGGCAGGCGTGCGGTGTACTTGTGTGTTGCAGATGAGCATTTGAACGGCATTTACAGCAAGTTATCGGCAATAATAGGCGAAATAGAGTAGAGAAACATTAAGACTTTGGTAGTAAATACATTTCGTGTTTACATTTTTATTTTTTATTGAGACGTTCCAAGTGCCTGTGGATAGGTGGTCCGTGTATTTAATATTGCTCATAGGGTCTATGTCCCCCAGGGTACTGCCGGAACGTACCCTGGGTACGGTCCGGTATACCGGAACGTACCCTGGTCACTATTTGATATGGTTAGGGTTAGGATTAGGGTTAGGGTTAGGATTAGGGTTAGGGTTAGGATTAGGGTTAGGGAGTAGGCATAGGCGACTACCTAGACTCGTTAGTGGAGTAGGCGAGGTACGGTCTGGCATATTAGATAGTAGTATTTAGTACCAGGGTACGTTCCGGCAGTACCCCGGGGGACATAGACCCTCTCAGCTTTAATATTGCACATCTCGCTACATTCTTAGCATATATATGTATCTCAACAAATGACATTAGTTGACAGAGCTGTGACTTTATTACTACAAGAACAGCTACATAAATTACATTGCGTTTGTCGTAAAATCTGGCATCATTGTGCGAACGTGAGACTAGCAGTAAATCAGGAGTAGTCACACCCAAACTGTACGAGTTGACAAGTCTAGAGCACGTACACTGTGTTATATACAATTAAGTAATCGGTGGCTATAGAAGCTTTTCACAACTAGAATGCACATGCAGAATTACTAGTTCATTCATCCAATTCAGGTAAGGCTAGCCAGTTGTCACATAATGACAAATACAAAGATTACCAGCCAATCAACAATACAACATCACGGACAGAAACTATAACAATGGTACTAGACAGGTCAGTGTGTTTGGTAAGAGGTTACTAATTGATTTATTCATCACTTCTGCTCAGTGAGATGACTCTGCTACGAGTAATAAATTCGCGCTGTACTAGGTCAGACCAGTGGCAGTAAGTGGCTGAACCGTATTATCAAACTCATTGTATTCTATGGCAGTGAAACTGCCTTGTAGTGATCGCTACCCTACGCGTATTTTCAACGTTTTAGATCCTTATAAAAGCAATATGTGTTAACTTGCCTTCTTCTGTCACCAACTTTCTGGAACACAACGGCCTTCATGTCACGTAACTGTAAAAATTTACATGATTTCTTCAAATATTTCGATTGTGATTGTTCGTATGGGCGCCGCCATCTTGGAAACAGGCCCGCTTGCGTACGCAGCTAAAATCAATAGTGTGGGTATAAGAAAATGTCCCGCCTGGGAAAGTGCCACACGGTAAGATGCCATGCGAATTTTGCAGTATCTGATTCATAAATAATGTTAAGGAGGAGGTAAATAAGCGAATGTAAAGGATGATGTAATATCTGGGAGGAAGAAAGGTGGGAATATATGGAGCAAGTAGAGGGAGGGGCTCGGGTCATATGTAAATAAACGTCGCGAGCGCGAGATATTATGAGAATTTTTGCTAAGCAAATCTTGACCTTGACAGGAATAATTCGTCTATAAGCACACGAGTCTCTCGTGTTATTCACTAGAATTATATTTATTTATTCTTGAGAAAGTATGTTATAGAAAATAAATATCAAATTCAATTTATTACAAATGATTATCATGCAGCGCTAATATCCCACACCCGAATATCACATGAAACTAACTAAAACCTCAATAATTTTTATATATTCACTTATTTATTTATTTTGTTTATTCATTTACTTACTCACTTCCTTACTTAATTGCTTACTCCCTTACTTCTTCTTTTTTACCTACTTACTTACTAACCTAAAAAAATAAATAATAATAAACAAATAAAAAAATAAATAAATAAATAAAATAAAAAATAAACCTACTTACTTCTATCTTTTTAATTATTTATTTATTCACTTACTCACTCAGGCTTTCATTTATTTATTTATTTATTTATTGCAGCGACATTCGAATTTGACGTCACGGACCTATCTATATTCTTGCAGCACAGAGGCAGAGTCGCTTCGCGCACCGCTCATGTTATTATAGCTAACGTTACACGAGGATCCGATCCACGTAAACACGTCGTAAATGTTCGTTAATTCACGCCACCCTTTCTTCTCCGGTGCTGTTACGTGTTCGGCGCGTATTGTGGCGAGACATTACGCTGATATATACCTGATTATACGAGCTCCTTTAACGGCTTCAGCGAAAGACCAGAAATTGCCGTTAACGCGTCGATGTGAATAAAAGTATTTTTCTCGCCCGCATCGCTATATGCACCGACTATGTCAATACGATATTCGATGCAAGAGTGCAGACAATCGCCACCATTGTGTCAACGTCTTGCGTGCCAGCAGATAACAGCGGCGGTGCGCTTTGATTCACAATTGCTACTCGGACGTCACAGGCATTTCAAGGATGAAAAAGCCCGGGCGCGGGACACGCCGTGCTATGCCTGCAGACTGCATGCTGGCGGGAGAGAGACGTTTCCCATACACGCACGCACGCACGCACGCACGCACGCACACTTCTCACGCCACTCACACCCTCACGCACGTACCCCCCCCCACACACACACACACACACACTACCACGCACAGTCTCGCTACCACCATGCACGCACGGCACAGCACACACAAGCGGCACGCCACCACGACCACTCACGCACGTACCCCCGCCACCCCCAACACACAAACACGCACCACACACGCCATTCACGCAACAGCACGGCACAGGCACGACGACAACCGACGCACGCACGCAACGCGAGCACGCACGCGCGCAACGCACACACACACAACCCCTCACATCCTGCGCTTTGTTCCTAATACGTGTGTCCATATAATCGGCGTCTTCAGAGAGTAGAGATGACCGAGGAAAGTGGCGCTGGCATGGTCGGGGGCTCGATTGGTTCGGCATGTACAATACAGGGCGGGCCGAAGAACATTGCCGGACCCATATACAGCACTGTATAACCCCCACACTCCACGCTCCAACAGCTCTTAATGTTTCCTCTAATCTGCTAGATAAATATATATATATATATACATATATATATATATATATATACACCTTTTTCTTACTCTTGACAGTGTGAGAGATTGGCATCGAAGCAGCCGTTATTCAATATATCAGGAGCTAATAATACATTGTATAGGGGCCCTACACATGTATTATTATATAGCTTTTCAATATTATTCTTATTATGTGTTCGCCATGTATGAATTGTGTTCGGATGGGCAAATTTACGTAGTGCTATACCAGGCTATACTAGAACGGGTATACCGCAGTGCTAATTCATTCGTAGGAAATTGCTGTAATCGTTTTCTTTGTTGTTTTCGTGTTTCGTGGTGATAAGTGGAACAATGCACGCAATATAGAGAGAAGAAGTATCAAGAGAAAACACATCGTCTTGCGTCTCCTCATGCTACGCTTTAGCGTGTATGTATATTTACGCTTATATCATTATTCACATAGAGCATATTCCTATATAACATTATTCACATAGAGCATATTCCTATATAACATTATCCACATATAGTATCATCCACATAGAGCATATTCCAATATAACATTATCCACATATAACATTATCCACATATAGCATATTCCTATATAGTATTATCCACATAGAGCATATTCCAATACAACATTATCCACATAGAGCATATCATTATCCACATAGAGCATATTCCAATATAACATTATCGACATAGAGCATATTCCCATATAACATTATCCACATAGAGCATATTCCCATATAACATTATCCACATATAACATTATCCCCATAGAGCATATTCCAATATAACATTATCCACATAGAGCATATTCCAATATAACATTATCCACATAGAGCATATTCCCATATAACATTATCCACATAGAGCATATTCCAATATAACATTATCCACATAGAGCATATTCCCATATAATATCACCCACATAGACTCATAGAGCATATCCACATATAACATTATCCACATATAACATTATCCACATAGAACATATTCCAATATGACATTATCCACAGAGAGCATATTCCAATATAACACTATTCATGCAGATAGAGCATATTTCCATATAGCATTATCTTGATATTTTTATGGTGTGAAATTTTAGCACGTGGGTAAAACAAAGCGATGTTACTCGGTAACGCACGTACAATGTAGACTATGTTTATAACCCGTCAAATATTCTCCTAGAATTAGTCAAAATACTATGTAAAGAGGCGTCGTTGTCGGACGCACATATGCAATTTCAATATGAATACATTTTCGGGGAACACTCTTAACGACACACCCAACTATGCACGGAATACAAGCTGGGAGCATCAAGCAGATTTCATCAATCACATGCATTTCAGAAGGAAACGCCGCCGATAGCGGGCGGTTAGTCATCCTAAAGAAAGAGAGAGAGAGAGAGAGAGAGAGAGAGAGAGAGAGAGAGCGAGAGAGCGAGGAAGAGAAGGAGAGAGAGAGAGAGAGAGAGCGAGAGAGCGAGAGAGGAGAGAGAAGGGAGAGAGAGAGAGAGAGAGAGAGAGAGAAGAGAAGAGAGAGAAAGAGAGAGAGAGAGAGAGAGAGAGAGAGAGAGAAAGAGAAGAGAGAGACGAGAGAGAGAGAGAGAGAGAGAGAGAGAGAGAGAGAGGCGAGAGAGCGAGGAAGCGAGGA